CTTTTTCATTTATATTTGCGTTTTTATATTTGCCTTGACATATGTCCCTTTGAAAAGTTCGGTGCACAGATTGGTTTCGTGCTCAAGTTCGGCAGTGTTTTCCAATACGTACGCCTTCCAACACTCATAGATCCTCTGGCTAGGTATCGTTAATCACAATGAAGCTATTCCCTATCAAGCTTATGTTTATGACTGCTCGTTGTGCACTAATTAGTCCTGCTTATTTCAATACTTTACTATCTTTAACTTGGTCCAGGTAATTGGAAGCAAATAGTCCCCGCTACTATCACCAATTTCAACCGTCTTGTTAACCTTGATAAGTATTTGTTCATTCTGCGTCTTTATGTAACGTACTTTTCTACACTCCTTTTCATAGGGATGAGCTAATTCGTTACAGTCCCAAGCTCCAAAAAGCCTTTCCGGGCAGCGTGATTCGCTTTCCAATAATTGTGCCCGCGTTCTCAAAATTGCGTTTGTCCCACGCGGCTGAAAAGTAAGAGCAGGGCGCCGTCAAGATATTAAATCTTGGCAGCCCTGGGAGCGCCACAGTCGGAGGATTCCAGGTGTATAGCTAGCATTGGTCCATAACAAACTGCATAGTTGACGTTCTCGTTTATGTACCATGTACGGGTCTCTTCATTCACTCAGCTTCATTTTGTTTTTCAGCTTTTGAACGCGAAGCGAACTGGTGGTAGTGGTTCCTACCATGATTAACGCTGTACATCGTGTTGCCTCATAAGGTCGTATCTCCAATGGATCCGTTGTACTTGGACATTCCCCGTCCCTTCAGCAAATTTCCGGTGGGCTATCGACCGGTGAGCAGAGGTGGCGGGGTGATTCGAACGATGTCGAGTCTCAGTCTCGATCAATCACGAAATAATGCATTTAATGCATTCTATGACCAAGGAATGCCACCTCCACAACTGGCTTTTTCTGAGATCGCTCAAGGCTACTCTGTATCGCCCGAATCAAACATGTACAGGACCACGAATCCACCGACGAGAAACGTCCACCAGTCCTCTCTACCTGCATCTGTGGAACATATTGCGGATGTCGGAGAGAGTTTCCCGGAAATGAATGCTAGAAGTTCTGGAGATACTCCGCGGGATGGCCGCAGCAGCGTGCCTATAAAAAATTCATACGGTGGAGCGGCTCTTCTAGCAGAGCTAGGCAGTTCTGATGAGTTTCGCTGGAAACTACGACGCCAGAGAGAAAAAATTGAAGATTACCGACGTCAGATTGATTGTCAAAACAATAACTTGAATTTGAGTGCAGCCCCTCACGAAACGGTAAAAATTAATGATTCAAAGGTAGCCTGGAGAAATGGGAATGTCAATCGTCGGGGAAGTTTTACTCAGTCGAATTCATACCCCAAATCTGTCCTGTACAAAACTCAGTCGGACTCTTCTCTGTTCCAAGACCTTGATTACGGACCGTATCCGCCGCTGAATTCAGAATTACCCCAAATTCCGCAACGTACAACAGGTAGCGTTCGACAATCGGACGGGTTTGGAAGGCTGCCATCTTCTGTAGAGCGCAAAGCGCCTATGGAAGGGTTTTTCGCCTCAAAATCTCGCCAAGATCCTGTCTGGGTCACGAGTCCCCCACCGCCATTCAAAATTCCAAGAGGACACCACAATGCCCAAATCGTTTTATTACTCAAACAAGCAGCAGATTCACCTTCCACATTCACGAGAGTTATCTGCGCCGGCGCCCGATTTAGAGCAAGGCAATATGTTGAATCTTGGAATGGCTCAGTGGGCTGAGGATCCACCACTGTCAACATATGATCATGTGCCCACCAACCTATCCTTTGCGGTTGAAGCTGGCCAAGCTCCCGTGAATCAGCACAACCTCGAAAGCGGCGCTTCAAACACTGCCGGACGCTTGCAGTTTGCTACCATAGAAACAGAGCCGAATCGGATTCCATCACGAAGTCCTTTAGAGGTGCCCTTATCTAGAACAAGTTTGCATGAGTATATCGCAAAGAGACGAGGCCACTCCGGACATCATTTTACGCACGGTCCTAACCGTTCCTTCGCTCATAACGCGCCTGATGTTCCGGCAGGAATCAGTCATGCTCCATCAACACATCAACAGTCGAGTAGCGAACGTAACTCACCAACCAGAGACTTCAATGAACAAGGATCGAACCTCCGTGTTGGAACGAATTTCATGCGAGGGCTTTGCGGCAGTAACATGGGTAATGGGGGTGTTGTTCACTCGATACCGCGAACTTCTCGAAAAGCTCAAGTACTATTGAAGGAAAGGTCGTTCGCTATAATTTCGCGACCTTTGACACCTCCAGCAATTTTGCAGAATATTAGCGATGTGGTAGATCTAGGCTCACAATACCGTCAAGTTATGGCCAGTGAAAGTCTAAATAAAATGCGACGGGGTAGTGAACCAATTTCTTCACCGGTGGCTGCAATTTCTCCACCTGGATCAGATTCTTTTAATCGAAACCTTGGATCACCATTGTCTTCCTACGACAACACTGAGAACGAGGAGCGGTTTCGTTCTCATCAGGCGGTGCAAAACATTTCCTCAAATCAAGCGCAACAGATTTGTTCAACTCCAGCGCATGGAATTCTGCTTAAAAATACTGAGGGGGTTACCCGACCGTCGAAAAAAGTTGTTTTTCAATGCGATTCACTCGAGGCGGACCGATGTCTGCAGGCGAACGGTAAGTTGGTGGATAGCATTTTGAATACCGTACCTTTCAAAATCTCTTCTACTTGCAGTTTTAATTTTTCATTTAGTGAACTCGACGGAACCTCCTCCACACGTCAAGGCTTACGATGCTGCGTTGGGGGATGTCATCGAAAACTGGTCTGCTGTATCTGACCAAATCGGAGGCGACGTCAAACTTATGGTTAGTCATCAACAAATGTGGAGTTGGCTAGTGCATTATTAGATAGAATGTGTTGCAGCGAGAGAAGGTCACTGCTGTGTTCAGTTCTCTAAGAATTTTCCTCTGGACGGCTGCTTGTCAAGTCGAACCATCAACTGATGAGGTTCAGAAATTGGTCTCGCCCATTGTAAATCTCTTGTCGGAAATAAACAGCTTCAAAGTGAGTGTTCATTTTACATGTTCTAGGCTATTTTTTCATTGAGCACATGATGTTTTGAGTTTAATAATGAGGCCGCTATGCTCAGGATTCTCGACGCAAGGCCCCACAATTCAACCATCTCTGTGCTGTCGCGGAGGGCATTCCTGCCGTTGGATGGGTCCTTGTGGTATGTTCGGTAACGCTTTCGTCCGTTGCACCATGTCCACGTATTTAAACAATTTTAGAAGAAAACTCCTGCTGCGCATGTCAAGGAGATGCTCGACTCTTCAATGTTCTATATCAATCGTGTTCTGAAGGAGTTCAAGGTAGCGTATTTTACCTAATTTCCCTTATGTGGAGGTGTCATAGACATTTTTCTTGGTAGAAAACGGTTTCTGACTTCGGCTGAAAGTTAAGCAAAAGAGGAGAGTTGAAGCTGAGAATTTATTATGGAGAAAATTGGTTGCCAGACGAGTTCAATTGCGATGCCTTTTCTGAACTAAGAGTGTTTGAAGAACAGAGGGAATTAGCAAGGCGTAGTAGCCCATTATATGATTGTTATTGTTTCACAGGACGGCGATCAAAAGAATATCGAATGGGCCCGTTTATGGAAAAATATTCTGGAGACCATGCATACATTCGTTCGTCAGACCCACACAACCGGTCTTGAGTGGAACAGCGCACCTGTAAGTTGTACGGTGTACGGTGTTTGTGCATGCTTTGTGTGTGAATAATATTTGTGCCCGTGTTTCTTACAAGGAAACGATGGCAGGGCGAACTGACTGTTAAATCAGATGTATACCTACTGAGGTGTCTTCGAGTTATAGTCTTTTTTGGAAGTATGTCCCCCTTATCTACCAGATGATCCTGAAAAAAGTCAACGTTTCAAAAGCCAAACTAAGAGCCCTATGTCTAACTTATACGTCTGGTGCAGTAGAAGCGCTGCTATGAGCCGAGGGCCATGGATTGGTTTTAGGCTCATCTCTACAAAGTCAAGTATTGGGATCTTGCACATTTTGAGATCTGTTTGCTTGTATCAAACGCAATCGTGTCGAAAATGATCGCGCCAAGTGACGACGGGTCATATTCGCAATCAGGACCATCATTCGCCTCCATAGATAAGATTTCAACGAAAATAATTCTATTCGCAGAGATTAGAGTCGTGGGGTAATGCCGAAGACGCTAGCAATTTGAATAGCACGATTCCACATGGTAGACCTGGTTAACCCCTTTTTTCAATACTTGATTTACCCAGGAATTTGTTCCCTCGGCTAGTTTGACCACCTGCACACGACTATCACAAAGGTTTTCATTTGGCACGAAAACGCCTAGCTGGTCCGCTGGGCGCAGCACTCGTGCTAATTTGACAACCTTTCTAGGCGTCGCTTACATCTGTGGGGAGAATATTTCCCAAACGGCAGCTCCAAGCCGCCATCATTCCTTTCTCACCTGTATCCGATTCATTTGCAGTGCAGTGTGATGCGTGTGTCGATTTGTGTGCGTTTAGGTCTGCTTTCGGCATTGCTCGTAGCGCAGTAAATGATAGTATTTGCCATTCCTCCATTTATGTGGCGTCATTGCATGCAACTTGACGTTGGAAATTCGCTAGGCAAGTTCTTTGTGTAATCTTTTCTGCGCTCAGGGATGCTCACCTCCTCCGAGTGACGCGCGCTTGACTGGAAGTCACAGCGCAGCTCAAGGCCCACCACCTCCTCCACCTCCACCTCCACCTGGCTGTTTGTTATTTTTAGATCATTCGTAGTGTTTTTCAATGTTTTTGAGCGTTCATTGTTGTACTTTTGACATTATAGTGTTCGCTGCTGATAACGCATCTGCGGCAACGGTCGATGCTGGCAAAGCAGGCAGAGATGCACTCTTCGCTGAGCTCAACAAGGGAGAAGCTGTTACTGCGGGACTCAGAAAAGTTACTGCTGACATGCAGACTCATAAAAACCCTGCACTACGTGAACATGTTAGTTTCTTGCAGATTTCATCCTTCTGTTTGAACACGCAGCAGTTCGTTTTCCTCTCTAAGGCATTGTTCACAGTCTACGACATAATTATTATTCGCGAAAGTAGTTATATACGTTTTGACTGTGAAAATCGGTGCGCAGGAGGATCGTATAAGCGAAACTATGAATTCTTGGCAAAAAGGGTTAGATGGATACCGATTAGTTGACTCCGTTTGATTGCAATCGGTGAATCGCGGAAGCGATTCGCTTCCTCCTGTTCTCTAGATCGATTCGTATATCACTCTTTTCGCAGATCACTCATTTTTAATAATCGTTAGATACGTTTCCGGCTTCGAAATAAAATATAAATTAAAAAAAAAA